AGTGCCCGATCTCAAGCCTTCTGTGCCCGAGCACTCATTTGATCGCTGACTGAGCACCGACTATGTACCAGGCACAGCGGGGGACTGGGGCCAGTGATGAATGAGGTGCATCCCCTGTCTTGGGGTACTTACAGTCTGACAGGCAGACTGGGAAACAAAATGGGCAGTCCCTAGATAGACACAGGCATAAAAAAGGAGCTGCAGTCCAACCTGACTGGGACTACCAGGGAGGGCTTCCTGGAGGAGATGGTGTCTGAGCCAAGTCAGGAGGCCTGGCAGCCAAGGGAAGGTAGAGGGTGGGGCTGAGGTCGTGGGGAGAGCATGCATCCAGGCAGGCAGGGCCACGTACCAAGGCCTGTGCCAAGCGAGGAGCAGGAGAGGAGGCTTACACGATTCACCACCGCTGCAGTGGGGTGCAGGCAGGGCAATGCAGGAGCAGGTCGAGGGAACTCGAGGCCTCCAGAGGCACCTGAAGGGCCAGGGATGCCACGTGAAGCACCATCAACCTCGATAGAGAAAGTGCATGTCACAGGGTACTGTGCTCTCAGGTGACAAGGGATGGAGGAGCAGCAGGCCTGGGAAGCTGTGCTCTGACCTGGGGCAGGAGCTCAGGGCAGGCTCGGGCAGCACTGCCACGGCACCTTGTGGACAAGGGAAGCAGGGGTATGAAGGGGGGATCCATGACATGAAGACCCATGTGGCCTGGGGTGAAGGGGGCATAGACGCGGGGGGGTGGGGCAGGTATGTGGCACCTTGGGTGTGAATGGACAAAAGACCTTTTTCCAAAGGCTGCCAGGACACCCTGAGCAATGGACTCACTGGGAGTATAGATATTTTCTCATGATGATGAAATACACTGTGACATTTAACATGAGCGACTGCTGAGGATGGCACATAAAGGAGTCACTTCCCAGCAGAGGGTGCTCAGGCTGGCATTTCCAGTACTTGTAGGAAGGCTCTTGTCCTGTGGAAGGAGTCGTGGCTGGCTGGTGCTGAGGCTCAGGCTACCCCCATTGGGAGCTGGGGGAATGTTGACGCTCACTGTTTATTCCCTGCTCTGTGTGGACGCAGCCAGGCAGTTTGGGGGTGACCTTCAGGGCTTTGTGCCCTCCCCTCTACACACATACACAGAGCCTGGGGGGCCAGCTTTATAGACGTGCTTGCTGAGGTGACACCTGTGGTCTTTCTCCTCTCCAAAGCCCCTGCCCCATCCATTCCTGACAAGGTGTGTCTATTCCTCCAGCCAGTTCCCTCTGGTGGGACCTGGAACCTACCCCCCCACCCTTTGCTGGTAACTCCTCACAGCGCCCCCTCCCCAAGGCCACAAGAAGGCTGTCTGTGGGGCCTGCACCCCCTAGAATGGACTCTGCTCATGAAAGCTGGTGGCTGGACATAGGGGTGTGTACTTTTCCGATGCCTCCTCTACTGACCTTTATTACACTGTTTGCCTAGCTTCCCAAACCATTAACTTCCACCCCACAGCAACCACACGTCAATTAATGGAGGGCCTGCTCTGAGCTCGAGCTCCTGAACACAATTTAGCGTGACAGTCCACAAATAAGAAAGAACTAGAGAATTAATTAAGGTCTAAACAAATTAATTAACAGTCCCCAATCGATTCCGATGCCAGCACACATGCTCCTGGGCTCACCGTCTCTCCTACTGTCTCCATGTATAAATAGAAACTGAGATACCCACATGATTGCTGTTCTAGACCAGGGCCACGGTTCGGCTCTGAAAACACCTTGGGGGAGAGAAGTGGCTGCAGTGAGCATCCCAGGCCTCTCCACGACCTCAGCACACACACATGCACACGCATGTCACACTCACACACACACACCCGCACACGGACATGAACATACACCCCTGGCTGAAAAACCAGGAGTGAACTTAAAGGCGAGTTCTCCATGCAGGACACTGAGTTGCCCCAGCTGCTTCTGGACCACATCCCTCAGTTTCTCAGTTACAGGGGGTGAGGGGTCACTCAAGTGGGTCTGAAATAGCCCCGGGCTGGGCCTGGGTGGCCTGGGCTTGGGCCAGCTCAGTATAACTTTCAGCAAATCTGAAATTGTTGACTTTTCTGTAAAATGGGGATGGCAGGCTCTGCCTTAGGGCCCTCCCAGCACAGAATGAGAATTGAGGGGAAGCAAGTCCTGCTGGGGGTTGAGAGCTGTGTAGCCCCTGGCAGTGCTGGGCTCTGCAAACCCCGGGAGGCCTGCAGTGACTGTCAAGGAGGTCTGAACAGGAAGAGGCTGAGGTGGGGTCTTGTTGGAGGTCTCACTTCCAGATGGGAGACAGTGGGCAGAGAGGGGCAGGAGTTAGGTGTGGGGACCAGGCGTCCTGCACCTAGTGTCTCAGGCCTCTCTCTCAGGCAGCATGTGGAACCAGAGATGAGACGTTTCCTCCCACCTCCCGGACTTCTGGCTGGAGCAGGAGCCCCAGGAGGAGCAGGGCGGAGCAGTGGGCAGAAGCAACTGACTCCCACAGCCTCCCTGTCCCCAGCGCTTGGGCTCCCAGCCTGCCTAGGAGGGAGGGAGAGGGGATGTGGCCTCTGATGTGTCCTCACAGCTTGGTGAGTCCCCATCATACCAGCAGCCTGAAGGGGCAAAAGACCCTCTACAAGATGAAGCTCGTGCTGAGCAAGCTTCTTGGTAGCCTTTAATGGTGGGGCAGCCTAACCCACCTCAGAAAGCAGGGTGAACACTGGGCAGGACCCAGGCCCAGCCAGCATGCAAGGCTTAAAGATGCTCTGTCCCGGCCAAGGGTTCCTGGGGATGAGGTGGAGTGAGGCCAAGTGCAGGGACTGCATGGTGGCCTCTAAGCCACCAGTAGGTGATGGCCACGCCTATTCATCTCGCACACCACTGGGTCAGCAGTGACTAGGGGAGTTGGCAAGGGCCCATTTGCAGATAGGACTGGGATGGACATGGGGCCAGAGGGAAGGAAGCCTGTGTTGGGGGGAGGAGAGACTGGGGTTGGGGGTGGAAGGCAGCCAGGCTCAAGGAAGAAGCCAGAAATTGTCTGCTTCTCTCAGGATCACAGCGAGCTAGGACAATCAGGGCTGCAAACCACGGACTGTGCAACCTGTGCAACTGGCCAAGGATACACAGAAGACCTCCAACAGTGGCTGGACCTGTGTGAGGAGGCTGAAGGCTCCTTCCCAACAAGAAGATGCTCGAAGAGGGACATGTCAGAAAGCAGGGATCTCAGACCAAAAGCAGGGATCCCCCTCCCAAAGTAGTCCCAGAGAGGTTAAGACTACCCCAAGGTCACACAGCAAGATGGACGGCAGGGCTGGAATGGGCCCCTGGCAAAGTTCTTATCAGAAGCTTGGCTCTAGGACAGATTACATCTAGGCGAGTCCCAGATCCAGTCCAGTGCAGCTGAGAGCTGCCCCCTTCTCGGGCTGCTTCTCACCCTCCAGTCCAGGAACACCAGTTGGGCAGCCGTGTTTGCTCAATTAGGCCCCTTAACAAAGTCAGAGCTAAAGAGTTATTCCATTAATGGCCCACAACAGAAATAGCTGAGTTCATTAAAAGTGTGGAGTTGCTATAGCAATTATCTAGGTTGGCCAAGGCTCAGCCGGGTGGTTGGTTCTGGGAGTTCATTAGCCTCTGGGCCATCAAGAAGGTGGGGCTGCCCAGTAATGATCTCCCACCTCCTCATGGGGGCTTTTCAGATGCTTTAAAGCACTTGGCTCTCAGTGGAACCTGGTCTGAGGCCTCATTTTCTCCTCCTGGAGCTCTGGACTATAGGAATGTGGGTACTGGAGCCCACATCTTACAAATGGGGAAGCTGAGCCCTGGAGGTGAAGGATGGGGTCAGGACCATGAGCCTGGGTCTGACTCCTGACTCTCCATACTGAGCCTTGGCACCAGGGAGGTCGGGGAACCTCAGGCCCGTCCTGGGCTTGCCTGTGTCTCTGTCCTCTGGCACGGATGAGCAACTCTGGTGTTATGATTCCAGCACTTGCTTATACATACTTCTCTTTCGACAACAAATCATGCACTGCCTGTGCTGCTGTCAGTGTTATTTCTTTTTAATTGAAAAAAAAATGTTCCACTATTTTGTCCATCTCTCCAAACAAGGCATAGGCTTCTTAAGAGCCAGGCCGGGCTTTGTGGCATTCAGGCCTGGGCCCTGGGACATCCATCATGAGCTCATAGACTCCAAGTTCAGCAAGGACTCTGCTGAGGGCAGGAGAAATCCCCTTCACATTCACATACACCCACATCACCTGCACATGGGCAAAGGCCTCCAAACCCTGGAGGGCCACAATACCCAAAGGCTTGAAACCTAGACTAGCAAAGCTTCAAACTTTCTTCTGTGCCAGGAACCCCTCTGACAGTCTGGTGAGGCCCATGTACCCCTTTCAAAATAATGTTTCTGAATGCAGAAAACAAAATACATAAGATCACAAAGGGATTATATTGAAATAAGTTATCAAAATATCTTTTAAATTATGATACAGTAATAGCTGTGCTTAACTAATGAATTAAAAAACAAGATCTATCAGTCAATGTACTAAATATGATAATTTGAATTAGTGTTGAGCATAAATGATATTTTAAGATCTCTGTAACAACTGTAATGTGACATGAAAATATCTGTGATTACTAATGGTGACATAGTTCCAGGTCCTGCTTCTTACTGTGGTTTGCTGCCTACATTCATAATGGAAGGAAATGTTAAATTACAGTTGGAGGTTAGTGTAAATATTCCCCCTCCCCCAAGTTCACAGCATCCACTGCATTCTGTCTACTGACCCTTTGAGGGTCTGAGGACCCTAGGTTAAGAACCCCTGTGCTAAAAGCAGAATCCCAGGCATGGAGCTGGTCAGTGGGGCCCCTCATCCTGTCTTCTTTCTATGCGTTCTGTTCCAGTTCCTCCAGCTGGGAGCCCTGTCTCCCAAGAGAATCAGGAGAGATGTGGAAGTGCCCTCCAGCTCCCTGGGAACCCTACAGTCACCCACGCCCATGCATGGAACATGCAGCTCTTACCTACGGCAGGGAATGGCACAAATCTCTGGACAAGAAGGCGGGTGGCTGGGGTGAACTTGTTGGCTTTCTGAACCAGGACATTAAGGCCCACCTTAGAAAGAAAACAAACAAACAGAAAAAGTGAATGATGTTGCAGAGGCTTGTGGGAGGAAATGACAGAACTGGAGGAAGAGCAGAGAGTGAGGACTGTCATCTTCCCCCAGACCTCTAATCCTCCGTGTCACCTGATGTTGCAAAGCTCCAGTCTGGCTATTTAATGTCCCACTCCCTGGTCATCCCAGTTAACCAGCCCGTGAGAAGGAGGGAGAGAGGTAAAGCATCAGCACCGCAGACACATGCATACACGCACACACACACGTGCACACATACACATGAACACACACGCGCATACACTCTGGGGAGGGGGAAGGGATGGGATGGTGGGGTGGCTGCTGCTAGAAGGATACAGAATTTGCAAATAAATGAAATGTAGGAACCCCTCATTCCCACCCCCGCCTCTAAACCAGCACCTTTCTGAGGCTCCACAGTGGGCCGAGAGATGAGCCTAGCCACACCACGAGGGCTCAGGAGAAGGAGACTCACGTACCTGCCCACAGGTGACTGCGGGGCTAAGCAGAGTAGCTCAGAGCAGGACAGAGGGTGCAATGTTACCTCTTTTCCCAGATAAGAGACAGGTTCAGAGAGGTTAGGTAACTTTGGGCAAGGACAGACAGCTATTACAAGGAGGTAGAGCTAGGACTTGAAGCCAGGGTCTCCTGGTTCCAAAGCTTTGCCCCTTCCTTCACTCAAACCCCAGCTCCCCTCACCCAGCCAAGGATACCAGGCCCCTGTTCACCTCTGCTTTGGGCCCTCTCCACTCCAGTCCATGCCCTGAGCTGTCTGCTCATGTCTACCACCACCAGCTCCTCCCCAGACTACACAAGAAGGTACAATCTACTCCATGCAGCAGTCTCAGCCTTCACAACCTCTCTTCCCCACTCCCCAACACCCTGCATCCAACCCTGTGAGCCCAGTTTGCTGTTTGTGAGATGCATACTTCTGGCCTTGGGACCTTTGCCAGTGCTGGTCCCTATCCTAGAATGCTTCCCTCCTCTACACAGGCCACACCTGTCCTTTCAGGCCCACCTCTATGTTCCACCTCGAGTGTCACTTACTAGCAATGGGTCCTTAGACGGCTAAGTCATTTAACCTTTCTCTGTCTTAGTGCCCTTATCTGTAAAAAGAGACAGTAAAATCTACAACATCCCAGGGCTGTTATAAGGATGTATGTGAAGTGTTGAGCATGAGCATCATAAGAGCTTCAATAAATGAAGCCATACAGTAATGATGTCACTGGACTTGGAGGGAGGGACCATGCCTTTTTCACCTTTGTATGCCCAGCACTTAGGGCTGCACTGAGTGGCACATAGTACATGTTCAATAAACTGGTGATTAAAGAATAAACACATGAAACAACAAATGACTGAATGGAGAGATCAGCAAAGGCTGGTAGGAGGGCTTCTGGGAGGAGAGAAGGCAGGGTTAGGCTAGGCAGAGAAAGAGGACTTTCTAGAAGGGAAAAACATGAACACATGCAAGACACATGTGGCCAGCCCAGAAGATGGTATGAAGAGGCCTCTGCTCCCCCAGACTGAGGCCAGAGCCAGCCCCTGCCCTGTCGATCTTGCTTGGGAGGAGGGGGCGGCAGGAGCCGTGGAAGGACTCCTGGTCTGACCAGGCCTGGGGCAGCCTGGTCTCAGCTCTGGCACATGTAGGGGCTCAGCAGGCCATCCTGTGCCCTCAGGCCTGGCTCTGGCCTCAAATTTCTGGGTTGTTGGGGGAGAGGCAGAACCTAGCAAATGCCTCCAGGGCTGCTGGGTGCCTGCAGCAGCCGAGGCAGGGCTGCAACTGTGAGGCCCAGGAACACAAGGGAGTGCCGGCCCGCCAGGCCCTGGGCAGCCCAGGGCCCCATGGAGCCAGATTAGTGCCCGGCAAACCCAGCCTGCGCTTTCAGGTGCCCCCCTCCATTCTAAGTCTCGAGCTAATGCTCAGAATCCAATCCTTGTGCTGCCTGCTCGCTTGAGGGAAGACTGGGAGGCAGGGAGAGGCCTGGCAGCTTGGACACACTTGCTGGAACAGCAGGCAGGCTGGGGGGTGGCCAGCCACGCTGGGCCCTGCTGCCCTACCATGTGGATGGAACTCATCAAGTCCAGGTCATCCCCACTCTCTGCAGTGAGTGACTCAGAAATGGCCTGTCCCCACGCCCAAAAAAGTGCAGAGAGGGAATGCGTGGGAGGAGGCTGGAGGACACATAGATGGGCATTAGTGATGAAGGACAAAATGAAGAAGGGGCTCGGAGAGAAGGCAGTGAACCCCTCCTGCATGCCAGGCCACTCAGCACATGTTCACATGAAATATCTAAATGAACGTGGATGGAACTCATCAAGTCCAGGTCATCCCCACTCTCTGCAGTGAGTGACTCAGAAATGGCCTGTCCCCACGCCCAAAAAAGTACAGAGAGGGAATGCGTGGGAGGAGGCTGGAGGACACATAGATGGGCATTAGTGATGAAGGACAAAATGAAGAAGGGGCTCGGAGAGAAGACAGTGAACCCCTCCTGCATGCCAGGCCACTCAGCACATGTTCACATGAAATATCTAAATGAAATCCCCACTGCAAGGCTTATACATAGGCCATATTGCCCTTTTTCATGGATAAGAGGTAGGTTCGGAGAGGTTAAGTAACTTTGTCCAAGGACAGACAGCTATTAAAAGGCAGGTAAAGCTAGGATTTGAAGCCAGGGCCTGCTAGTTCCAAAGCTTCGCTTGTAACTGCTGTGCTATTTACTTTCCATTTGTTTCCCATCTCAAGGAGTGATGCTGTCATGTCTGTACACCACCTAAAACCAGCCATGTGCATAGCAAGAGGCTCCCTGACGAAGGCCAGTTGGGCCTGGAGTCCATAACAGTGGAAAAGGGAAGGCAGTTTCTGTCAGGGAAGATGGGACCCTTGCACCACTCCGCTCCAGCAGCTGGAAGTCGGAAGGACTGGGGTCAAAGCCCCACACGCTGATTTGGCAAGATGCAGGAAGTGCTGGAGGAGGAGGAGCAGGAGCCATTGGAGGAAGTGAGCAGAGAGGCTCGGACCCTTGGACCCTTCCGCATGGCTGCCTCCTGGGGTGGGCAGGGCTTGAGTGCAGTGGGAGGACAGGAAGGAAGAGAGGCCCTGTTTGTAGCAAGTGCTCAGACTTACCCCCCCACACACTCTGAGGCCCTCCCCTCCCTGGCTGGCCATTCTTCCCACTGGCTAGGCCTGGCACAGTCCAGAGTGGGGGGGAGCCCAGGGGAAGGAGGAAGAAAGAAGAGAGAAAACAATGCCCCAGATCCAGGTCTCTTCTGCCTCTTATTCCCTGAAGCCCACCTGGGTCCCCCTCATGGATGGGGTGAGATTTAGTGAGGCACGCTACGTTTCTGAGAGCACGGCCAACATGCCCAAGCCCAGGGAAAGGGCTGGGGACCAGCATGATGTGGAGCAGACCTGGGCATGTGTGTAGCTGTGAGCTCTCTAGGAGTCAGTGATGTCATCCCACCCACCGATCAATGACAAGCCCAGTGGCAGGGAGGGCATGGAAACAGAGGAGGCAAGAAGCCACTTACCCTCACCCCTCCTTGGAACCCAGCCCAAGCCTTACTGCCCCAGCACTAAGGACAGCCACCGCCTGGGAGAGAACCCGGGGTGGACTGTAGACTGGGGGTTGGGAGCCCGTCTGTTCTAGTTCCTCAGGGGCTCTTTGGCCTGGAACATTTGGTAGAGCCCATTAAAATTAAAAAGCCAAGTGGCTGGTGGCTCTGAATGCCAGCTCGTTTTCCCTGGCATGGTGGGTCCTGTTTAAGGGAACCAGCTGGCATTAATGGCACACAATTCATCATGAACAGCAGCTAGCGATCAGAAAAATCAGAGCTAATAATCAGGTTCGGGAAAGATAATGAGATATGGAACAATCACTGCTGAGGGTCCCCCATGGTCTGTTTTAACAGCCTCCAAATAAGCCACAAAATAGAAATTAACCAAACAGGGGCTCCATTTTGGCAGAGGGGCAAAACAAACAGGGTGTGGGTTTTGCATAAGAATTCCTCCAGCAGACCGGGGTCCTGGAAGAAGCATGAGCCAGGACCTCTGGGACATCAGCAGTGGCCTGAAGGAGGCAATGGACCTTCTCTGACCACTTCTCTCCAAGCTCTGCTTGCCAGGCCCGTGAATTTGCCACAGGCAGCTGAAACAGGAGGCCAGAGAAGAGGAAGGAAGGCCAGCTTCCTGACAGTCCCCACAAGATGAGAAAAGGCACCAAGAACTGGGGGTGAGGTGGGAGTTCCTTAACTCAACATCTTCAGTGTTACGAGCTACACGGCTGGTGGCTGTATCCCTCAGTACCAAGGTCTTGCTCTGCCAACAGCCGCCTAATCTCTGCAAGGCCAACGAGGAGACACTGGGTGGGGCTGGAGCAGTGCCTGTGTCCCTATGTCACCTGGCTGGGTCCTTCACTCCAGCTGCACACCCAGCCACCTGGGAGTGTTCCGTGGACTTCAGGGACTCCACCTCCTCATGGCCCAAACCAAAGATGTCTCGCTTTTCCTTACCCACACCCTCTCCTCCTCGGCCATGCCCAACTCAGCTCCTTGTGCCAGAAACCTCAGAGTCTTCCTGGGCAGGAGCCTCTCCCGGCCCACAGCTACCCATGGCTCAGGGCTACCTGCTCCACCTCCTGTAGCCTTGAATGCGGCTCTCTCTGCTCCCACCACTTGGCACTCAGCACCTCCCATGGATGACTGCCTGCCTCCTAACCAGACTCCGCATGTCCACTCCTGCCTCCCTCCAACCTCTCTACAGCCGCCAGAGCGATCCTCTCAAAACAGAGATGGACTTGCTTACAGGCTTTCGGTGGCTTCTCCCAGTACGTACAGAGCCGCACAGCCCTGCGTGGCTGCTCCGCCTTGCTTGCTTGTGAGGCTCCAGCCACCCGGCCCTCTCCCCACTCCTGCCGTGAGCCAGTTCTCCCCCCAACCCTCAAGGCCTTCAAGCCTGCTCACTTTTCAGCCTAAATGTCCGGCCCCC